GTAATGTACGCAATACGACTAGTGGTTTTCTGGCTGACCATTGCAGGCTTTGTGGCTGCTCTCCTGACTTTCATAGTACTCTGTTTTTTAAAATAGGGAGGGATAAGATTGAGTGCGAGATTGTTGAGGCTTTCTTCATTCATGAAGCAGGTGACAAGTGCGTGAGCAGGCCTTCCATATCCTTGTCTGACACTGAAATTAGTTATCTTAGAGGCGTTGATTGATTTTTCACGTCATTTGCTTTTTCTTGACCAGATGCATTCCTCTCATCACGGTGACTGCCGATTTCCCCTGGGTGTGTCAGCCCAGGGGTGCCGTCTACGTGAAGCCGGGGCCAAAGAAGTGTGTCGCCTTAGCAGGGGGGGCCTCAAAGGTTCGATCACCCAGCGACAGCTCAACCCCCAGGATCCCCTTTTCCCTGGACACGGCAAAGCCACGCACGGTTGGGCATGGGAGAGAGTCGAAACCTTCCCATTAGCTCGGGTCTGTGGTGTCGCTACACACCAAACGCCTGCTTGCACAGACGCCCCTGCGGGGCTCTCGTCACAACGAATACTTTTCCTAGACTCATCTGCTTCAATGAAGTACTCAAGAGTGCCAACACTTAAGGGGGGACGCGGCTTTCGGATCGCGAAAAATGGCAAAAAATCGATTTTTTGAAACTCAAGTTTTCAGTTTCTGGAACCCTTTTTCTATCTGGTTCCAAAATATCTACACTGAAAACCGCGCAGAAGTGCTTCGGAAAATTCGTTTCACCCACCTAGGTAGCAAAAATATTTCTGGAAATGGCGAGAAAACGGCGATTTTCAAAAAATAATAGCTTCGCTATGCTTGGGCCGGGAGCCGGCTTCTTGGGCTCATCGGAAAGAGCATTTTTCCGTGTTTAACTTTCCCGCCTCAGCTGGCTCCTACCTTTAACAACAAGCGAGCAAAAAGCAAATGTTTGAAGGTCGTTTTGAGGCCCTTGATTGGCCGTGGCCGCCATGTTGCCTCAGCTCGCCTCGCCATTGGCCCGATGCTCGCTCCGGGAGATCGTCGTCTGCTGCTTGTGCGTCGCGAGGACATGGCTCTCGAAAATCGCCACTTCGTGACGTGTTCACGGCTTGATAATCACTTAAGATATAACTACGCTTTAGTTACGAGCAGTAAGCGGATGCGCGATCAGGTTACTACGAGCGTCAGCGCGGTCTACGAGCGCCGCGCGTCATTGAAGTCGTCTTTAGCCCTAACTCCGCCGACTGCGGGCAGAAACGACCTGCTAGCGCATTCGTGGCGACGTGTTTCTTCGCAAGCAACGAAGCTGTAAGCGGCGGCACGATCTGATTACTACGAGTGGCCGCACCGGATGCACGATCAGATTACTACGAGCGGGCGCGCGCCGGTCTACGAGTGCGGCGCGTCATCGGAGTCGGCTTTAGGCCTAACTCCGCTGACAGCGAGACTGCGGGCAGGAACGACGCGCAAGCGCACTCTTGGTGACGTGCTTCTTCGCAAGGAATGTACCACATCACTCGCTAGCTCCTCCGAATATTGTACGGGCATTTTACGCATCGGCAGCGGACAACACAGTCAAGCTCGTCACCCCCCCCCCCCCCCCCCTTCAAGGATCGCTCGGAACAGCGGCTAGCAGTTTCGCGCGTCGTCATTCGAAAATGCGATGCCAAGTGCAGTGCGTGCCGATTTTTTGTCTTCGTAGTTACTCATTTCGCGGATCGTCATCGAACGCCGCCGGCAAGTGCATTACGCGCCGGCTGCACTGTCCTCCACGTGGCCACGCACCCCACGGTCACATGGAGTGCCGTCAGTAAGCTTTTGTGATGCGATTCAGACGTGCTTGGAGCCGTGCTTGATATCTCCACGAACGTCTATGCATGTTCCGAGGTTAATGAATTGCTGTAGATTAGAATTTCCGCGACCGGCTGTATGATGATGCGTTTCACGGCTAGAGCGGCGAAAGAGCATGTGTGAATCAGGGGCACGAATTTTTATATGCCCGTTTCGTGTCATTAATTATACTGCTAGAAATTCCCGTGCCACCAGTCTTCTGCCCATAACTTTGTTATTTGGAAAGAAGGCATAGGCCGTCATGGTGTGATCCATTTTTCTGATGCAATAAACTTCTCTCCAAATAAAAAAAAGTTCAGTGAATACTTGTAATCAAGTACTTAATTACACTAATTACAACTTCAGCACAAAAAAGTATGTTTAATAATTTCAGTATATGGTTTTATTCAATCACAATCTTTTCTGTCATACTTATCACACCACTCCTTCATACAAAGAACTTGGTTTGAAATTCATACTTGTTCTTTGTAACTCATGAAAAGGAGTCAAATATCACAAGACAAACCTGAGATCACAATTTTTAGGTGTCTTAGAGACGTAAAGAAAAGTTGAAACTTTAAACGCAGCTTTCTCAATACTGTTTTTTTTTTTTTTGACATTATGCTCAGCCCCTCCACATGGTTCAGTGAAGAAATAATTTGTTTCTCGTAACGTATTTGTGGTATCGCTTCAAAATTTTTATGAAAGCACTGTGAGGTTATTCTTAGTGTCTGTGCCAATTTTCATCAATATCCAACAAGAAACAAAAAAGTTCATTGAAAAAAAGCCCGTCGAAAACTTCGACAGGCTTTTTCTCACAAGTGTATTTTGGACATTGTGCATTGCTCGTGGAAAGAGTAGCACGAGAATGACTGGACCGATTTTGATTCTGTTTTTTTTCCCTGAATCTCTGAACACTGCTTGTGGGTACAGCAATCTTCAATTTCTGTTTTGTGGCCCTGTTATTTTTCTAGACGATGATTTGTCCGTGCCATTGTTTCTGACAATGTGTGTTGGCAGCCATGATGATCTCTAAAAAAAAAAACGAGAACTTATTAAAAAATTCCGAGAGTGTCATACCCTGTAGCTTTCTTTTGAGTAAAGATCAACATCATTCGCAGCTTCCTGGCACGTTTCGTTGCAGCGCTAGGCTTTCCACGAGCAGACCATGTAATTGGATCGTGTAGCATTATGTAACTTGAGAACTACTGCAGCTATCATGATGAAACTGCATATTTCCCTATTCTAGACACTTATGAGTATGCATGCCAAATTTCATTGCTGTAGGTCAACAAATAAAAAAGTTTTTTTTCAAAGCCACCTCGTCCCTTAAAGAAAAGGAACTTGCCTAGGATTGCCACTGAAAACTATTTCTCATTGACTTGCGACTTCCAGAGCCGTGCGACCGCATCGCAACACCCTTGTTTTCACCGAAACGCACTTTCTGCCAACCACACGCACATTCAGGTAAATTTTTTCACCACTAAAATGCTCAGCAAGGGATCGCCCATACACCATGATCCTGCTGTTGGATTTGATGCAAGTGAGGGCCACGAGAGAATCATTGTTCAGGAACTCCTGGCATGTTTTTGACACGGCGCTCAAAACAAAACTGCCGCCCGTCGTCATTAGCCCTCGATCGTGATTGACAACCATGGTGTTACGAAGGCGTTACGGTATTCAACTGTGGAGTTATGATGTCATACTAACTAATGTTTGGTATGGTGACGAGAAATGCTATTAAAGAGCCAGTAAACAACCTTTAGGTCCAAAAATTGTAATGAAGAGAAATATGCGCACTTTTGCTTAGTGAACATGCTGCTACGGCAAGAATTTTAAGAATTCATGCTATAACAAGGAAGTTACAAGGGCTAGAACATCCATTACGACCGATTTCAAGTTTTCACGTGGTCTTGCCACCCTTATTTGCCCTGAGCAGGCGAAGGTGTAGGCCATCATCGAGACTCCATCCATTTCAGCAGCATGATACGTCAGCAATACGTCATCGGCACGCAACAAACGTCCGGGCAGGGCTTCTCCCTAACAAGCACGTGTCATAGCGGTGTAGGAAGATAGCATGGTAAAGTGGTGAGGTGCCGCTCTTCATCTCGGACACTATCGTTCTGGCAATACCATTTCTCCCACTGGTCTCAGGCTCTGCAAACGGCAGCACAGGAAAACGAGAATGCAGACAGCGTGAACGAAATTGCATCACTGCAGGGCCAAGGCGCCGTTTCGTGGAGCAATGGACCAACTGACAAGCTCATTGGTACGTCAGGTTGCCCATGGGCCAGTTGCGTCACGTGCATATAAGGTGAATTGGTCAGGCGTGGGAACAGTTGTTCTTAAGATTTGATGCGGTTATCAGTGCTGCTCATAAATGGCAACTTCATAAAGCACAGAAAATGCAAGAAATGTAAGCTCAAAATTTTCATCAACACACAAATTGCACCCCTTTAATCAACGTCCTGTGTAAGGACAACTACACTACAACCTCATTACAACAAAGTTGCACCTTACATAAAAATAAGTTTGTTGTATCACAAAATTCGTTATATAGATTTATTCCTAACACTATTTATTAAAAGACAATTTTTCATTACCTTCGTTCAAAATGATATTTTGTTGTGTCGAGGTGCGAGTGTAAAAGTGAAGTCCTGAAATGCCTGCACTATTATCTGTTAAATCCCTAAAAAGACGGCGGTGAGCGTTCATTTCGTTCCAGAAAGCTGGTAAAATGAAACAGTCACAGCAACACAGGGGTAACCAGGCAGTGAAAAATCGAAGGGGCTCAGTCCGATACGATATGGTGGCCTGGCCTTAAAAGGGCTTGATAGAGTCTGAAATTATTATGTGATAGTGTCCACGCGAGCCAACAGTGGCTGAATTCGGCGATAACAGGTTTGCCCCGTTACGTCGACACAAACGAATTATCTCTACTTCCACTCGCACTGACACATGTGCGTTTGGTATGCCTAGTGTCTTTTTGTCAAGACCCATGGGCACGATAGAGTCTGGGTAATGCCGCCGGTGTGCAATGCAGCACATTGCATCTCACTGCCAGGGCATGCGCCGATGACTTCGGAGTGCTCGCGTCTCGCCAGTGTAGCGCCGCTGTGTGGAGCATGCATGCGCGTCAACGTTACGCCGAATTATATCGAGCCCACTAGACCCACCTGATTGAATAAGGCTGGTGAAATGCCTCCACCAATTGAGCTTGTAGGCACGGCCTGAGCTCTGGAGTTGACCGTCTTGGTCGAGTTCACAGTGCCGGGGCTTGGCAGTGACCCTGGGGAACAAGCACCAGCACACAGTCACTCCTCACAGGTTTTAAACGAGAAATCTCAGAGATATTCAGGCCCTATACGAGGATTTTCATGACCCTTTTCATTAGGGTGGTTTTTCTTTTTTTTTTCATGTCAAAGATTTCGAAACAGTGCTTTAAAAAAAGACACATCGAAATACAAATCTGCTTGTATTGGATGCAATAAAAAATAATGAAGATATTTTTATCATATAACGTATATTGCTTAAAAAGGACTAAAACCTTCAGCAAGCAGCTACTCACAGCTGCCCACTTTTACATATCACAATGAAATTCTGCTGTATTACACACAATAAATAAAATCACAGCATATCCACGGAGTGAATGATGATGACCGGGGCGAAGCGTCAGTCAGTCCATCTGTGCTTTCGTACGTCTATTCGTTTTTGCTTCCGTGCGTCTGTCCGTCCATGCGTCCACCATGCAGCAAACAGAAAGACGACGGACGGACGTGGCCAGCGGACAATTCACGGTTCGCCGATAAAACTCTCTGAAGCTTCGCCCCACTGATAGTCATTCACTCCGTGGATATGCTTGTGAGGTGGTTACTACATACATGCATACACACAGGTGACAGCTGACTCACGCCTTAAGGAGCTTCACGCCTAACAAATGAAGTTAGATTTACCAAATATATCAATGCAGATTGCATTAAATGCACAAAGCGCAAAAAATGCTGCCCTATTGAGGCGAGCTCCGGTAGCTTTTGCTGAACTAGGACGTTGAGTGGGTGAAGCTCACCAGTCTTTGCAGTCTTCCTGAACATATTTGACATAAGGGTGGTCGTGGCAATGAATGAGTGATGCTCTCACTGTCATAAATCATAACTGACATAAATAACAAAACAGAACATAACTAACATAACATAACTGACATATGTCATAACTTGACATAAATTTTCCTAGATTTTTGTATAATGATGTTTACAAGGGCCCATTCTGTGCCACAATGCTATCGGTTTATTTTTTACTATACAAATAGGCACGAAAAAAGTTTTTTTTTTTTTGAAAAGTGCTGTAAATATTGTCTTGCTAACAAGTTTTACAAAAGTCAATCATAAAATCTCTATAGTGTGTACTCAAATATGGTCAGCTTTACCACACTCACTCAAGTCTTAGCAAAGAAAACAGAACGGCTACATCTCAATTTGTTGTATAATGGCACAGAGATGAGTGACAGCAACTGCTCAAAAAATGAAAGCTGAGAACATGGAGCTAGATGCCGAGGTATTCAAAAGGAAGCTAAAAGCATCAAGCATAAGCGTAAAGTGGAAGGAAGCTAAAAGCATAAAGAAGAGAAAATTATTGAAAAGATAGCGTGACGTAAAGATTGACTGAGGTGAACATAGCAGAGAGCAACAAAAGGGCGCCCCATCAAAGAGAGCGACTGCCCCCGCTGCTGCACAGCAGCCAACGGCGAGAGTGCTTTTTCCCGTGAGATATGAATGCGCTCCTCTAGGCAGGCAGCGCTCCACACTGCTTCGCAGGAAAAGGTTAATAGCGTCTCAACCGTGCCACCAGTGCCATTTTGCAAGACAGGAAACGAGAGAGAAAGAATTCACGCTCAAAACAACACCCCCAGATGGCATAGAACGTCCTGCGGACCGTGGGTCGTCCCGCAGCCTTGAAAGGAGCATTTTTTTTCCTCCCCACGTTGAGGTTGAATTACGCATTGATAATTGAAGAATAAGTAGTTTATAAGACATACAACCGAAGAGTACGGTTTTTCAAAAGTTGACTTCTTCGACATTTTTCGGTTTTAAAAAGTCACGTTCCCCTTTAAGGCGGATTCACCCATGGCAGTCACATCAAAAGTCTTGCTCTAAAGCTCCCACTTAGCCCGATGCGGATTTGTTGTGTCGGATGCAATCCAGTGCTTGCATTCGTCGTGGTGGAAACACGTAATATAAAATTTGCTTTTCCTGGCCATTGTTCCCCATATCAATACATCAGTTGCACTAACACGTAGAAGGCACGCTCATTCCAAACACACAAAGAAACGACAACCAGGATGCCGCATCAGACAATGCCAAGCAATAGCGATGGGACTTTAGGGTTTGCAGCCGATACTACATCCGCTAGCACCGGCAGTGACTCTTTCAGTCATTAGCACAACGTGTATGGTGAACACTGCCTCCAAGACTCGCACCAAGTCAAATGTTGTCAGCTGTCAAATGAGTCCGCTAAATAGGTATAAAAATTCGTATGGTTTTTTTACTCCAATTTAAAGCTCCCACGAAAAACAATAACTCAGCAACGAGAACTGTATTCATTATGACAAATACTATTTGAAAATTTTCATTAAATAAACTCACAGTTATTCAAGGGCTGGTCCAAAACTCAAGGTATTTAAAGGTGCCCTGAAACACTTTTTGAGCATGGTCAGAAAGCACTGCCAATTTGTAGTAGAGGCTCCCAAGAACATGCGAGCCAAATATTATAACACAGTACGTGGCCTGGAATTCAAAATAAATTCTCAAAGCCAGCTATAAAACTTGCTTTCTCTTCTCTCAACAAATGACAGAAGCTCAAAACCCACAAGTGTTGGCTGATTTGAACATAGTGTGCTTGGTCGTTACAGGGATCACAGCAGCAGGCAGAGACTTGTCCACGCGTACACAGGCAATCACAGTAACGATGCCGCACATCCGAAGAAAAAAAAAAAAAAAAAAAAGTGGGTCACGAGGTAAGCATTACAAATTTGCTTTGCCTGTGCCATACCTCCCTGCTTAGCTTCCAGGGCTTCTTTCAGGATGAGAGACGAGAGGATGCGATTGCAGCGTGCGACATATCTTTGCAACTTCGCTCGTACTGAACGGATTTTAACCATTTTTGCAGTGGTGGATTAATGAAGCAATAAGCTCTCTCAGCAAATCCGTTCCGTGGCTACATAAAAAAGTGTTGCAGGGCCCTTTTTAGGGCTTTGAAAACAGACTTTCGATTTTTAAGGGTTTCAGGGACGTGTGCCTGCAGGGGTGGGGGGTTAAACTTGGTCTCCTCACCTAGGGACACCACATTTGACAGGTGCACCCCCAGTGGCTGCTGCTGCTGGGCCACCATGGCTGGCTGCACATGCATGTCCACCACTCCCGTGCCATTCATGAGCGGCATACCATTCATGACAAGCTGGCTGGCCGCTGCGCTGTCCGCTCCAGCTGCACAGCACATCGTCAAATCTATTAAACAGTTCCCTTGAGTTACACTTTTGCAAAACTGCTGCAGTATGACCCATTCTCACTACTGTGTAAGGTATTTTAGCAGAACTGCTACACTTGGTGACAACTTTTCTTGACAGCACTGTAAACAAAGTGCATACCAGCTGCCGTGCCAGAAAATACTTCCAAAGTTTACTGATAATTTTTTTATTTCATTTGCTAAAATAAATGCCACTTTATTGTGAGACACGAACCATTGCGAAAAGTCATAGATAAAATACATTTATTGTTCACTTTGCCTTGCTTTTCTTTCCATTTCAAGGACAGCACAACCTTTTCGACAGACCCAATTTCTGAAGTAACCATGGTGTCGATATAGTAGTGGGTGCGGCCACAATCACTGTTCTGTTTGAAAGTACTAAAATGTGCACTGAGCCCATTCACACTTTTAGTGTATGTGCTTTTCTAAACGATGCGAGCGAGTAAAACCGAAATCAGCCTCAAGCAGCCGTACTCCAAGGTTTTGCTCTAATGTCAAGATAAGTTGTCACAAAGTGCAGCCAGCCAAATCAGAACAAATTCATCTTTGAGCGTGATAACATGGACAAAAAAAAAAGCATCCTCTAACGAATACAACTGAATAACTTATTCACTAAATAGAAAAAAGATTTGGTCACAATACCCAACATGATCTCCACAATCTCGCCAAAGAACACATCACTTGCACATATAACAATCACTTGTGATCCCAATGCCTCGGACCAGTGCATCCACAGCAACAGAATATATCAAAGGCACGTCTAACAGCTCAGAAGAAAACGTCATTGATGATATAATGACAGGAGTGACACCTTTTTATCTAACAAGACCATGGAAGGATGGATGACGCAGTTCTCAAAGTTTCTCAATCAAAAGGACTTTCACCATTTCCTCTACTATGCGAAATTTCAACCCATTCCTATCGCGTAGCATTCTCTCTACTGCCAAGATGAGCTGTCCCCCGACCCCGAGTACAGTCTGCACATCACCTTGAACTGACAAGCTTCATCAGAGGTCTTCATGCACACATTTTTTTGCTCTCTACTAGCAGAATTTCACGACAAAGGCACATCCGCAACTTCATAGTGCCACCCAAACAAGAGTTGTTTCACCACCTCAAAAAATCCTAGCTTTATGGCTTGGCCAGTTCGTCCTCTTCTCCCAAAAAAGATGTCACCTAGGGGCAACCTTACAAAGTACTGACTCTGTGCCTTGGCCCATTCGGCATGTCGGCATGCATACCGAGTACAGCGGAACCCAAATTATACAACTTTTAGGGGACCACGCGAAACCGTCGCATAATCCGGGCATCGTATAATCTAAAACCTAAGATTATAGACAGCAACAAAACAGGTACAGACTGCTTGAATAAGCCTACGACATGTTCTTCTGCCTCTGCAATGAGGGTAGATTAAATTATTCTAGCCAGTGGTAGCTAATGACTGCAATAATTATTTGAAAGAGGTTTAAGCGAATATTTATTCTCAGCCTTAAAAACAATCAAATCTAACGCGCACCTTTTTAACAATAAATAGATTGATTGATATGTGGGGTTTAATGTCCCAAAACCACCATATGATTATGAGAGACGCTACCAATAAATAGAGTACGAAAATTGCCAGTGCGTGAAAACGAAACCGAAACCGTGTTGCCGTGAGCGTCACATCAGAATAGTCAGATGCAGTGCCATCGCTATCACATAATGGCAACAGACAAAGAGTTTATGTACGATGTGTTTGTGCGCGACTGAGCCGTACGCGTTGTAATTTCTTGCCTCGTGAATGCAACTATTGGTGTCCGCTGTTGTTATGGACGTCGACGTTGATGGAATTGATTTTGCATGGCGAAAGCAGCTTCGACGTGCCCTTATGCGTGCGCAAACCAGTGACTGCGAGTGTGACAGAAGCAGATCAGCTGTATGTCGAACAGGAAAATTTTCCACGGACATAAAATGCGAAAATATCAGCTTTTTGGTCAGCTGAACCTATTCTATGTGAATAGAGCTTGACTAGGTAACGACCCCCGATACGTATGCACGCGATTAAGGCGTACGTAGAAGTGCATGAACTTTCAAAGAATAAATATTCCATTTGATGAAGATGGAATACTTTTCCTGTAGTGTGCCTTGGGTACGCAACTTCATATTTTGCACTTGTGAATATTTGGTCGACATGTGATTAGAGTAAAGGTGTTTTTTTCTTTTCCGACGGAATGTGAAAGTCGTCAAAGATGCGGGGTCGGCGTAAAACTGCGTACTATAACGAAGGTTTTTATTACATTGTTTCTATGGGTATTTTGCCAGAACCAAACCGATTCGTCGTAAAATGCAGGTCGTCGCGAAACCGGGGGACGTATAACCAAAGTTACACTGTATGTGTTTACCATGCAATTCATAACATTAAGTTGTACGTCCAATGAAGGCATAGTCACAATGACTGGCCACACCTCTTTCGTCAAAGGGGCGGTGACACCCAATTTTCGCTCATAATCTGCGTTACAAGGGTTAGTTTTTAGATGGATTTCAGCCTATTTCGTAGAGAACTTGATCTATAGTGAGCATTTTTAAAAGCATGCGAGCGGTCCAAGAGTATAAAAACACTGGTGTGAGCAGAGCCATGAAGCAGCTTGCTTTGCAAGTGTTCCAGCTAACGGATACCTGCCAAGTTCAAGGATTCTGAATCCGGGAGATTTCCGCAACTGGGGGGGGGGGGGGGGGGTGTCTGAAATGTTTGCCCCTAGTGTTTTTCTGCACCAAAAAAAACCAAAAACAAACGAACATCGTGAAAAACAAGGGGGAGAGGTCTCAATCGCAAGCGCCACCATCAACGTTGTAGTCTTATGGTGGCTTCGAGTGGCCGAACACACGAGGGTAGGGTTTCCCACCAAAGTGAAAGTCTCAAAGGATCAACACAACTAACAGAATCTCTTTCCGTAAAAACAACTCGCTTAAGTCTTCCCAGGAGTCATGTGAACAGACGAGACGGCGCATCTGGTTGTTGCAAAAGCGCGGGTCAAAGCTTTGCTCACTACTAGATTTTTACTTTTGACAGGAACCCCAAAATGCGTCTGGCCTTTATTTATTACAATAGCAATTATATGAACCGTCTAGGCTGGTTTTCTTGCCGTCACTCAATGCATGGTTATATATATATATATATATAAGGGAAAGAAGTGTATACCTAAGGGCTCGTTTTTCCGTGTTTTAACACAATAATAATGAGATATAACAGACAGTAATGCCAAGGAATGTACAGGGGAAGTTATTAACATTAATGGAATGTAAATAAGAAGAAAGAAAAGTGGATGAAAAAATTACCAACTGTAAGCAGGAATCGAACCTACGACCTTCGAATTACGCGTTCGATGCTCTAACCACTGAGCTATTACAGCGGCACTCCCTCCATCCACTTTTTTGGGTTTATCTGTGAATTTAGAAGTAGGAGCGACAGTCAGCGCCATCTATAAGCCAAACAACGAGTGTGAAAACACTCTTATGCGCATGTTTGGCGTCACGTAGCACGTGAACTTATTATGAGCGGGCAGCTGATTAATTGTCCCTCTTATACAACCTAAACACACCAAGTCTGCCAGTACGAGACCCTCGTTCAGTGAAATAAGGGAAAGAAGTGTATACCTAAGGGCTCGTTTTTCCGTGTTTTAACACAATAATAATGAGATATAACAGACAGTAATGCCAAGGAATGTACAGGGGAAGTTATTAACATTAATGGAATGTAAATAAGAAGAAAGAAAAGTGGATGAAAAAATTACCAACTGTAAGCAGGAATCGAACCTACGACCTTCGAATTACGCGTTCGATGCTCTAACCACTGAGCTATTACAGCGGCACTCCCTCCATCCACTTTTTTGGGTTTATCTGTGAATTTAGAAGTAGGAGCGACAGTCAGCGCCATCTATAAGCCAAACAACGAGTGTGAAAACACTCTTATGCGCATGTTTGGCGTCACGTAGCACGTGAACTTATTATGAGCGGGCAGCTGATTAATTGTCCCTCTTATACAACCTAAACACACCAAGTCTGCCAGTACGAGACCCTCGTTCAGTGAAATAAGGGAAAGAAGTGTATACCTAAGGGCTCGTTTTTCCGTGTTTTAACACAATAATAATGAGATATAACAGACAGTAATGCCAAGGAATGTACAGGGGAAGTTATTAACATTAATGGAATGTAAATAAGAAGAAAGAAAAGTGGATGAAAAAATTACCAACTGTAAGCAGGAATCGAACCTACGACCTTCGAATTACGCGTTCGATGCTCTAACCACTGAGCTATTACAGCGGCACTCCCTTCATCCACTTTTTTGGGTTTATCTGTGAATTTAGAAGTAGGAGCGACAGTCAGCGCCATCTATAAGCCAAACAACGAGTGTGAAACACTCTTATGCGCATGTTTGGCGTCACGTAGCACGTGAACTTATTATGAGCGGGCAGCTGATTAATTGTCCCTCTTATACAACCTAAACACACCAAGTCTGCCAGTACGAGACCCTCGTTCAGTGAAATAAGGGAAAGAAGTGTATACCTAAGGGCTCGTTTTTCCGTGTTTTAACACAATAATAATGAGATATAACAGACAGTAATGCCAAGGAATGTACAGGGGAAGTTATTAACATTAATGGAATGTAAATAAGAAGAAAGAAAAGTGGATGAAAAAATTACCAACTGTAAGCAGGAATCGAACCTACGACCTTCGAATTACGCGTTCGATGCTCTAACCACTGCAGCTATTACAGCGGCACTCCCTCCATCCACTTTTTTGGGTTTATCTGTGAATTTAGAAGTAGGAGCGACAGTCAGCGCCATCTATAAGCCAAACAACGAGTGTGAAAACACTCTTATGCGCATGTTTGGCGTCACGTAGCACGTGAACTTATTATGAGCGGGCAGCTGATTAATTGTCCCTCTTATACAACCTAAACACACCAAGTCTGCCAGTACGA